GATTGTTAGAAAAGTAAATTCGTCCACATCCTACATACTTGCTAGATTTAGAACCTTGAGATTGCCATTTGAAAACAGTCTTTCTTTAAAACACTTTGAGTAAATCACAAATTTCTTTTAGACTGAGAATGTGACTTCCTGTTGAGCTGCAGTCATTGAAAATGAAGGTGATTAGATTTTTTTAAAATAATATTTAAATAAATTTAACTTACATCTGTTTGATATGGATTATCTCCCTTTATATGCATTCTGTATTTAAATAAGTCCAGTAGGACACACTACATTCTAAATTGAATAATGTTTCAGTTAAGTTACACCAGCATCTGTTTTCTCACTACAATCAGTTTTTATATCCTTTCTAGTAAAACTTAATTTCTTTACACCATAAAACAGACATATTTTAGCCTTGCATATTTATAAATGTCTCTCTGTCTGCTTCCAATACAAATCAACAAGAATCTTTCTCTAAATGTCAACATTGGTTTATTATGACTAACATTTCATTAAAAACCTCATAAAAAACAACAGCGTTCACTTCCAAGGCCCCTGAGTTTGCAAAAAAAGAAAATTACACAATACCTGGTGAAAATTCATCATAAAAAACTCCCAAAAACAAGAAGTGTAATTGGAACTTTAACACTATTAATACCAAAAATACAAAAAAACTTAACCAGATCCCTAAGATAGCCACTAAGTTAAAAGCATATCCCTAAAATCATCAGGTGAGCCAATGTGACAACTTTGGTCATAATTCATATGCCAGGATGTCAAGTTATATTCTGACAGGATTTATGAAGTTGGCTGGAAAGGAGTCAGAATGGGAAGCAGCTTATGTACAACAAGAATTATGGATGCACTTTTAAAATATACTTTGAGGAGATAATCTTCACACTGGAGGCAGTTCTGAATTGCTGAAACAACCTTCATCTTGCAAAGTCGACAACTGGTGTCTTCAGGATGAAACATTTAAGATATATAAAGAATAGATACATTTTAGATATACAGTCAATGATGAAATTATTCATACACCCATCAATTTTGAATCTTTTTATCCATTTCTCAGAATCTAATGCCTGTATGATGCCAATTTTTTTATATGTTAATAAGCACAAAGAAAGAAATATAAAACCTGATTTTCAGAAGAATATATTAAATGCAACAAATTTGACAGGCAAATTATGCAAAATAGGAAAAGACAAAATTGTTCGTACAGTAGAAAATATTGGTTTACATTGATTGATTCATGTCAGTATAAGAAATTTATGTAATTATTTTATTGATGAAGCCTTCTAGACTATTTATTCAGTAGAATATTTGTGATAATTCCAGCAAAGAATATCATGTGTTGCATAGAGTGTCACCATTGTTATGCTTATGTTAACAACACGATGGGGAAGACAAAGGATCTTAGTGTTGACTTCAGACAGAGAAACATTGGGAAATAGTTACAGCACTATTTCAAGGTCTATTTCCCTAGATCTACAGTACGGTCCATTATAAAGAAGTTTAACCAGTTTGGCATGATAGAGAATTTGCTTGGCCATAAAAGAATACTAAATTGTCACCATGAACTACACAAAAAGCCCAAGAGTTTTTTTGAAAGACATCGTCAAAAGTTTGGATACAATGGTTATCAGCATAAGTACTCACACATACAACATTGTTTAAATAGAAATGCAAACTGACCACAACGAAACCCTGCACACAAACTATGTGTTGTGGAGTGATTTCACAGTGGAGGCTTGTATTTGTACTAAGTCGGTCCTAAAATAGGTTTGACATACAAAACGTTAGGAACTTGATATAATAGATATAACACAGAGTAATCTAGTTGTGGTCGCTGATATTTTAGCATTCGACTGTCGTCCAGCATCGACTGACTCAACGACTGCCTGACTGAGTGACTCCTATGTTACTCTTACTACTACTAGTTATTATAGGTGGGAGAGTCTATTAACTATAGAATAGGTGTGTTCCACTATAACACTATGTCACATTGTTGCTTTGTTTAATTTTGCCAAGATGTTCTAAGACATGTTTTTGGGAACAAGTACTATGGAGTGATGAAATAAAAATTGAGTTTTTTGAATATAATGATGTACAGAAGATTTGGCATAAGAAAAGTGAGGCTTTCCACCCAAAGATCACAGTGGCAATATTAAAACATGGAAGTGGCTCAATGATGTTTTGGGGTTGTTTTAGCTCAAGAGAGACTGGACAATTACTTGTAATGAGAGGAATAATGAAAGCTGCAGACTATATCCAAATTCTGGATGAAAATCTACAACTATCAGTGCAAAATCCTCATCTAAGTTGGTGATTTACTTTTCAGCAAAATAATGATCCCAAACATACATCTAAATCAGTGACAGTATGGCTTCAGAAAAAGAAGATTACAGTTCTGCCATGGCCTTCAATGAATCCTGACTTCAATCCTATTGAAAATCTATGGCAAGAATTGAAAGTTCAAATAAATCGTCAATCACCAAAAGACTTTCAGGAATTAGAATGTGTAATCATTGAAGAATGGAAGGAAATCCCAGAAAAGACTTGTTCAAATCTCATCAAAAACTTTTGAAAACGATTGCAACAAGTTATAAAGATGAGAAGCCATAATATTGACTATTAATATTGTGAAAATTGTTTGTTTTTTCTATTTTTCATACTGTATGAATAATTTTGACTTTTCCTATTTTGTATAATTCGCCTGTCAAATTTGTTGTATTTAACCTATTGTTCTGAAAATTGAGTTTTAGATTCCTTTTTTTTTTTTTTTTTGCTTATTAACATACAAAAAAACCTGGCATCATACGGGCATTAGATTCCGAGAAATGGACAAAAATATTCAAAATTGATGGGTGTACAAATAATTTCATTGTTGACTGTATAAGGAATAGACATACTTTAGATACATAAGGAAATGTACATTTAAGATATATCAGAAGCACAATAAAACCTGTCATAAAAAAGAAAGATGTAAATGATGCCTGAGGTTTATTCACAGTGTAAAACTTTTAGTCATTATTTTTCAAATGTTTTTATGGCATCCCTAATAGTTACCAAATTGTAACTGTACCTATTTTGGACACTAATATTTTGGCTTAGTTGTATTGTTTTATATTGTAGAGTTTCATATATATATATATATATATATACACACCACATACATCTGTACACACATATATATATATAGTTTCTTGCACACATATACAAATGCATATGTAAATAAACTTAAATAGATTTAGATTGTGGCTTCCCAAGATTGTGAATCATTTTACCATTATTTGTTTTTGCTTTTCTTGAAAATGAATCCTAAATATTTGCAGAAATGAACTGGAAAGATATTAAAAAAAAAGAAAAGAAACAAACAAAAATAAAGGAGAAGAAAGAGAGGAAATGGGAAAGAAAGAAAAATATGGCATAAGAAAGAAAAAGATGGGATAAGAAAGAAAAAAGTAATAAAGGAAAGAAAGAAAGAAAGAAAGAAAGAAAGAAAAGAAAGAAAAAGAAAAATTGGATGAAAAAAGGATTGGAAAAGAAAGAAAGAAAGAAATAAAGAAAGAAAGAAAGAAGAAAAATTGGTAAAAGAATAAAGACAAAAGTTTAATTGCAAAAGAAAGAAAGAAAAAATAAAGAGAAAGAAAGAAAGAAAGAAAGAAAAAGAAAGAAAAAGAAAAATTGGATGAAAAGAGAAGGATTGGAAAAGAAAGACAGAAGAAAGAGTGGTAAAGAAAGAAAGAACAAGAATGATTGGTAAAGGAATAAAGACAAAAGGATGATTGAAAAAGAAAGAAAGAAAGAAGAAATGGAAAGAAAAAATATGGTGATTTTTATAAAAGAAAATAAGAAACAAAAAAAGAATAGGTTATACGAAAATACAAGATCCACACAATACTCTGTTGCTAGCTGAGCAACAATTATTGACTCCTGTGCTGTTTGCAAAGAATATCGGTCATCCAAAAAAGCAAACAGATTAAAAACATAATTATAGCAAATATCATTTACTTCTTTTGACCTTTGGTAACAGTCATCAGGGAAAGGAGCTGAGCTGTGAGTATAAATCACAAAATGTTTTTTAGGCAAAGCAAAAAAATAGTAATTGTGTCCATATAAGTACTCAGGATCAAAGTCATTCATTCAGTCAGCCATGAAGTTATCTATGCAAATCATACTAATGCTTTTATCATGAACAAAATGATAAGAATTACAAATCTTCTTTGGGATGTGATTTGGACAGCTTCGCTTTCATTTGCTAAAACCAAACACTGCTCTTTTACTCCCAAATTGTATTAACAGCTTTTCCTTTCAATCATTTAGAGTCTACGGTATACAAGATAGCTCAGTAAAGATATGAATGATGGACTTTTTCTAAACTAACAGCATAGTTTTGTTTTTAATGTATATGGACAGAAATCTAATTTAAAACTAGACATTTCAAGAAATCTTATGAAGGAACTTTTGTCTGTGAAGTTTAATGCAATAATGACCAAATATCTTGTTATATATAATGTTACAGAATGTGAAGGATAGTGACAGAATAGTCAGTGATTGGCTGGACTGCCTCATGGGTGTGGTATTGTGACAGTGATGGATTGCCTTTGTCTGGGTTTTGGATATATGTCCCAAACCACACAAATTCAACAAAGGGTTGCAAAAATTTTGAATTGTCGATATGCTTTTCCCAAAGCCAAGTTGAGAGACAGACTAATAATGCTCACCGAGTCAATGGGTGACATGCATTACTATGATTTCATTCCTTCAGCTGACTCTTAGAATCCAAACTAATATGTCTGCTTCACCATTTCTAATAAAAACAAGTAAAATAAAAAGAAATGGTCCTTTTCATTGATACCATTTTATGTATTAGCGTGGGGACCCAGAGACAGTACAGAATGCAAAAATCAGTAATGAACATTAAGGATGATGTAGTGTCCTTCTTTTTGCAGTAATGCAGGACAGGAATTTGTGGATAGCCATGATCACCCACATCCTAAATGGACACATCATCTGGTATTCCCAAGCACTCACCCATCTAGGTACTGACCAAGCTTGATGTTGCTTAACTTTGGTGATCGTATGGGAACTTGTGTTTCAACATGATGTGGCCATAAGTCAGTACAACAGGGATATGGGATGATAGCATAAAATAAACCTTACTAAGGACTAAAAAAGACAAGAAATTGTGGAGAGCCGTGATTACCCACATTCTGAAGGGACATGACATATAAAAGTTAACAAACAATGGAAAGTGTGACACAGAAATTCCAATACTAAATTTAATTTTAAATTAAAAATTTTAATTCCAAGTACTAAATTTAATTTTAAATTAAAAATTTAAATTTAAATTCCAAGTACTAATCTCTTTTCTTGCAGTGAATGCTGAATAAGCTTTGTAGTGCTGAAGAAGGGGTATGAAGCGACAGAAACGTGGTTCTTTCAAAAAATAATGAAAGTACCTGGACAGTGCATGAGGAAAACAAGGAAGCTTAAAGGAAAATAAGTATTCTGTTATATAGGAATATAAAAGGCAGGATGTGTGTGTGTGTGTGTGTGTGTGTGTGTGTAATGAATGCACAGATGCAATTTCTGACAGATTTGCACCAAAATTTACATGCACATGCTCCAAGTTAGCGGGAAGGCCAAGACCAACTTTGCATTTGCCAACTTCCATCAATAGTGGAAATAATTGATTTTATCATGCTTCTACAGCAGTTTTCATGTAGTTTGTGGCCATTTTCTACTGGCCAGAATGAGAGCCAATAGCTGGCTGCCACGAATAGGCAGGAAAATTCTATTGGCCAGTGTGAGAGCCAACAGCTGACTGACATGAATGTTAACTAGCATGCTAGCATGCAAAAAAAATCGATAGCTGTATTCACCACAAGTGGGAATAATTTAAATCTGCATGGCACTTTACTCCAATTGGCTCATTCGCTTACTTAAACTCAACGTTGATTCTGATTCCGCAAAACTGGGTTGGGTGTGAAAAAGTATTTGTTGTTAACATTCTTTTTTCATTCGGTTTTTCCAGTTATGAGTCCTTTTTTAAAGCTGATCGTTTTGTTTAGTTCTTTTTTCGTAACATTTAATATTTAGTATAGAGCTTAGAAAAAATTTGCAGTGTGAGATAGGCAAGAAGTAAGGTATGTAGCAACATCAGCACGGCAAAGGGCACTCCTTTAAAGGCAAGGAAGGGCAAAAATATTTTAAGTCAAGTGATAGTGATTGCTGTATGAGTCGTACGATTTTTTAATCAAGAACGGGCAACGCCGACCCATGATGCTAGTATAGGAATAAAGTGTTGCTGCCGACACTTGAGTTTGAACATAGATCGCCAGTGAGCAAACACAGGCAATCCCATTATTGAATTAAGTAGACCATGTGACCATAGAGGAAATGCATATATGAGAGTTAATATGTATCTAATTGATCAACATTTCTAGTCTATCCTCTATTACTATTCAGATCTGCATTTCTAGTCTATCCTCTATTACTACACTATTTCTCTATTTGGATCACCATACAAATTACTATTTGATCAAGTATAATCAAGCAAGTACTATTAGTGTGAGTGCTATTTGAAGGCAGCTGACAACAGTATTGTTCAACGGCATGATATAGTTGTATCTGCGCTTACAAAGTCTCTACTACAATGAGCATTGCGAAAGTGACAATATTTATAGACATCATAAAAGTGGCAATGAGTGTTTGCTGACATTACAAAATATTCCAAGGAAACTTCTGGTAACAATCAGGAAGAAGGAGCTGGAATTTCTGCCTCACATATTGTGGAAAGTAGGCTTGGAGAATATAACACTCACAAGAATATGAAAAGTGGAAACAGTTGCCTAGTTGATGAGTTTAAATGAATAGATGGTAGAACAGGGATAAGCAGGAATGGTAAAATTGTAAGAATTAGGAAGTTGTGGAGAATCATGATCGCTCACATAATGAAAAGGAAATATGAAAAGTGACATGTTTGAGCAATTTCAACTATCATTTGTCATTGCAAAGAACAGGAATTGTAAAGTTTCGACACATTTAATATGAAGTTTGGTGTTTAATCATCAGGAGAGCTGTTTCGACTTGAAGGCACACTGCAAATCTTCAACAACTTTGCAAATATCTTTATCAGTCTTCACCAATACTCCATTTCCTTTGTTAACTTGCAAAAGTGCTGCAGGTCTTCCAAGCTCTTCAAAGTTTTACAGGGAATGATAGAGTTTTTACTGATAGTTCTTTTGATATCATTATTCAATGGATATAATATGGTCGTTCAAGGTACGGTTCATTTGTATGTTATAATTTAAATCATATTAATGGCATCCTTTGCGGGCTGTTTACTGTATTATGGCTTTGTCTTTATTAATTATGGAATATATATTTTTCGAGGAAGAAATATATTCTATTTAATGTAGTTTTTTATGACTATGGCTTCAAGTATTTGTGATTTTTTTTATTTATTTTTGCAGTTTATGCTTTCTCTCTGGTTGGAATATATTAGACTTGTGAGCTGTGTTACCTTGTCTGAAAGCAAAAAAAAATAAACACTAAAAAAAATGATGAAAAAGATTTTCTGTTGTCTTTAATAAAAGCTGCATGAATGAAAGACTGCTGCCAAAATACTGACAGACAAAGATTAATATGAAATATTGGAGGCAGAGAAAGGGAAAAAAACATTAAATACATAAGACTTTCTCTAAGAAATAATAAAGACATTTTCTAACATACATTTGAGAATAAAAAATACAGTATTTGGACATATTTCACATTTTAATATTTTATTGCATTGATTTGCTGTTATTGCTCCTTTTCAAACACTTTTTTTTATTTTTAAATAACTCTTCAAAAACCCTTCACAATATTTATTTTGAAATTATTGGATAAATTTTTAATAGGAACCAAATATTTATCCACAATTTTTTTTTTATATCTTATTCTATATTCTGGTTGATAATGGTTACTAAGAAAATATTATTTTCTTAGTAACCATTAATTTTTTATCAAAATAAATTGAGGGAATCCAAAGTTAATATTTAGGTAAAGGATTATTTATTGATTCATTTTCAATAGCTTTTCTGTGCTCAACTTAGGACTGTGTTCAGGCATGTATTTTATTGTGGCATGATACGAATTATCTGTCTATATTTCTGAGATGAGGTATTGTAACAATTTACACTGTTTACATTGTTTGTACTGTTGTCCACATTTTTATTGACATATTCATCTTCAACATCTATCTCTATTTCTCAGATGAGTTATTGTAACTATTTAAACTATTTACATTGTTCAGACTGTTGTCCTCATCTTTATAGTCATATTCACAGTCTATATTTCTTAGATGAGGCATTGTAACAGTTTACACTATTTACATTGTTCAGACTGTTGTCCTCATCTTTATTGCCATATTCACCTTCAACATCTGTCTCTATTTCTCAGATGAGGTATTATAACTATTTACACTATTTACATTGTTTTGTACTGTTGTCCTCATCTTTATCACCATATTCACTTTTAACATCCGTCTCTATTTCTCAGATGAGGTATTGTAACTATTTAAATTGTTTGGACTATTGTCCTCATCATTATAGTCATATTCACATGATATACATTGGAATTTCAAACCAAACATTTTATTTAGTCTATGTTTTAATTCCCTGCTTTTATTTCAACTCCCTTTATTCATTTTCATGGAAACTTCCTAGGAAAATTTCCAGTTCTAAGCAAAAATTTAATTCAGAACTGCAAAACTGATTTGATACAGATTCTAAAACATTGTCTAAGTTATAATAAGTCAAAATAACAAGTAAAAATAATATTTTAGTTTTATAACTGTCATATAGGACATAAAGGAATGTAATCGTCTCAATATGGAGTTAAGTGGAGTTGAGCAGAGTTAGTATTAGATCAATTGCCTAGTGTACCTTCATGCAGTAAACCTTCTATTTCATTACTTACCTATGAGTTTTTTCTTCTTTATTATTTCTGTCTTATCTCGAAAACACGAGATACAACAAAAGTGTAAAACCTTATTAAAGAGAAAGATTAGTACAGGGTGTGGCAGAAATATCTCCCACATTTTAAACAGTCACCTGTATAGTGCTAGTGAACTTAGGTAAGTGGCAATGGTGTCTTCATCTAGATAATGTCTTACCATTATGTGGGAGATATATCTGATACATACTGTATTATTAAGTAATCACCCATCTATTTCTCTCCAAGTAACAAACAAGAGATTATATCCAAAACAAGGAGGTATCTAAGATGACACATACTAGGAAAAGATGAACTCATGCCTTTTTCTATTTGCAACGTTGTCAACTTGCCTATGTACTCCAGGTTCAAATGCAGACAGAATCAGGATTAAGGAATTTTTTTTCCTTTATCAACAGAATTTACTGTGTCACTATATAAGCAATGGAGTGAATTAATGTTTTGCTGCATTTGTTTCATAAATCCTACTTGTGATATCATACATAGAAAACCATTAGGTGGTCAATAGTAGACATAATTACTATTCAAGTATCCTAAGGATGAAGTAAAAACTTTATTTTTCCTAAAAGTAATTTTGCTATTCTTCTATCATGAAAAATAAAAATAAATTCTGCTTCACTATACTTTGAATTTTTTTTCAATTTCCGAACAATCATTTTCTACATTATCATAGCAATAAATAAAGAAATAAAGAACTTTAAATAATCCCAAAGTTATCATATAGGACATAAAGGAATGGAATTATCTATTTATGGAGTTAAGCAGAGTTAGTATTAGATCAATTGCCTAGTGTACCTTCATGCAGTAAAGCTTCTATTTCATTACTTACCAATGAGTTTTTCTTTATTATTTCTTTCTTATCTTGAAAACACAAATAGTAACATGCTGTCTGAAATATCTAAACTGTCAGTTGTATACAACTATTTCTGCAGATCGATGGCGAAAAAAAAAGGCTTTGAGGGAATAAAATCTAAATGTCTCAACAAAGGTTATTCTTCTTTGATCACTGTGGACTGGATCAACAGAATCACAAAGAACTGTACCAAATAACAGAAACCGCATTAGTTAAGGAATACCAACAGCAGCAACAATATAAATGGATAGCACATGAAATGA